AAATACATAAATGAAAGAACTGAATACAACAATACTTTGTTTCAGACAAATTCTAAACCAATAAACGTATGTATAAAATGGTTTAAAGTAATCAGTTAAATCCGTAGCAAATGTCAAATTTTCACGTCAGAAAATGTCAAAGGCACGTGTATATTTTTGGCTGACAATTTAAATTTTGATAATTCAAAACAATATCATTCCGAACGCAAACAATGATTTTATAAATAAAAAATTCCAGAGAAAATTTATTTTTTTTATAAATTGTGTGGTGTAAACAAATTAATAAATCAAATATTTATACAGCAAATCTTCATATTTAATATCGGTTTTTACTATAATTGTTAGCACGATTATGAACAAAAGCGTGCATAAAAATTTTTGAGATACGTGTATATAATATATTTAATTTGTATTTTTGTAATATGTTCTCGGCGCTTAAAAGGCATAGGTTTGTAGAGGATATAAAGCTGAAAACTCAAAAATAAAAAAAAGATATATCTTATTTAAATTTTCGTTTTCTCTCAAAAAATTTGAATATAACATCTATAAACCAGTATATGATTCGTAAATTTTCCAGAAAAGACATGTGAAATATAGTAAAAACGTTTTTTTTTTAAAGTAAAAAACAATATAAACAACCAGTTATTAGGAGAGATGGGAATAACCATCATTTTCAATAAGATTTATCGATCAAATAATAATTAAATAGTAGCAGCTTTTTCAAATTTTACGCGAGAAAAATAAAAAAAGTCAAGCAAATTTAAAGAATCAAATCTTTATATTGGTTGTTAGAAAAGTCAATTGGCGATGGATACCTCAATCATTATGAATATTCGGATTTAAGAATCTACAGCTGATAGGAAAAATTGTGCGCGTTAATTGGAAAAATGCGGATCGTTTCTTTGCTTTGAAACTTTCAATGATGACAAATCAAACTCTGAAAGAAGTTGTAAAGAGGTAAGAAGTAACTCGCTTTTAATTTTTTTTAAAAAGAAAGGTTTGTTAAAATTAACTTGTAAAAATAATTTATAGATCAAATACACAAGCGAGTTGATTTTCAACGAAATGTCCTACAATTTTACGGCATCGAGAATGAAGTAACTGGTAAACATTGGAAACTGATATAATTAAATCCACACTTTAAATTGTTTTGTATATGCAACAGATGCAATTCATCAAATAGTACAATGCGCTTTGATTTTGGAATACAGATGCTGATGGTGGCACCCTAAATGCTTATCTAAAACTTGACAAGTATCGGCTAGCTTTGCAACTGGCGAGTGCCGTGAAAGGTTGTCTTAAGCCTTAGAAAAATCATTTCACTCGAACAAAGTATCGCTAACAAGGAAGGAAAAAATGATTCATCAACGAAAGGTGAATCTAACCTTAAATCAAATAAACTTCAAGTATAA